CAATAAGGACTCTGGCACACAAAGAAACGGAGGATTACTGCTTGGAGATTACGCTGCTTCTCGCTTTCTGGCTTGCTCTGGCCATTGCATCACGACTGAGTAATCAAAATACCACAGAGATGCAATGAAGAGCGTTTCTGGGTCACCAACAAAATTACTTGAGCATCATCTAATGGGCCATGCTGCGAGTGTAATCATGCATTTTGTAAGTAAACAAAAAGACATAATTGAGGACACATTTAAGTTGACATGGAGTGTTGATAGTCTCCAAAGCAATTTGACTGTAATTATTAACAACTGTAGGTCAGGAAATATAAAATAAGTGTACAAGTAAGTGTATTGCACTTAATGAGCATAAACACTGCAGATGGGGTCTTTTTTATTCATTTCTGATTGATCAATGTAACCCTATAGCAGTGATTTGTGAACAAAGTTGTCAAAAGTAATCTCAAAGACCATTAGTAAAGGGCAAAACTGATGAAGAGCACTGTGCTCCATATAATAATATATAGCTCATTCTTCTGAGGCACGAAGCAAGTGTGACCAGCAGTGACCCTCCCTCTTTATATCTGATTCTCAAGAACAACCAGCTGCTGTCCTGCCAAATGCTTTGATCTCTACAGATCAGGTTACAGGGGTCAAACTGCAACCACTATGTTCAAACTATTTTAGCAGCTACAGAATCGAGAACTTGCCCTCTTAAGCTCTTGATGCTTATTGTTCTCCATGCTTACAGCCAATGGAAAACCTAGTGATCTTCTATAAACATTAAACAAGTATATTATCCTTCATATGCATACAGCAGCCTACTACAACATATGTGATCTAAAGTAACATCATTACCATGCCACTGTGTCCATTAATATGTCAATGTTTGTATCATGTCATATTTTTATCCAAATTCTTATTTATCTTCATTTGTAGTGAAAGTTCACAAAAAAAGTGATTTTCTTCAGTAGAACAAAAATAAGATATTTAATAATTGTATATAAGAAGATACAAGAATAATGTTTCAACTGTTTTGTGTGCAGTAAAAAAAAAACATTTCATTTGTTCATGAAGTGAGCATTACTAAACAAAACACAAAAAGCTAAATGTCTCCTAGAATAGTCGAATGGCAGCTTAAAAGTGTGTTGTTTCTGCCTGAGTAATTGTTCAACTCCTCTTTCTTGTCCACCCAAAGACGAAATTCTTTCCTCCATGTTTTTTCTTTACTACTGGATAAACAAAGACAAAACAGACAGTCAGCAACAAAGCTGACCACAGCTTGGCAACACTGTGGTAAATCCCTCTGTGAAAACATGTACATTTCACAGCCTATAGCCTGGGTGGAGACAGTGTTTTGCCACCACAGACCCTGTCCTGGGGTCAGACAGCATGGCAGCTGGACAGATCACAGAAAGCCACTTGTTTGGACACTAACACTCACACCCTGCACAATAGTTTGTGGTCATGACTCAAGCCTGTAAAGGGATGGTTCACCCAAAAATGAAAATTCTGTCATCATTCTCATGTCATTCCAAACCTGTATGACTTTCTTTCTTCTGTGGAACATAAAAAAAAGATTTTTTGAAAAATGTCTCAGTGATTTCTTTGTCAATACAATGAAAGTCAACGGGGTTTATTATCTCTTTAAGCAATTAGCTGCAGTCTCTATATATTATGACTTCCTATAACTATCTAAAATTCTGCAAACTCAGAGACAAGGGTGAAAATATAACAAGCTAAACAGATGTTCCCTGAAATTCCCAGCATGAGTCTTTAGTGCCTGCTTGTGTGCACATGGTTACAACATCAAGCCACAATTGACTGAGTTTGAACTCTTTATTGCCAGTGCGCCCTGGAGAGGGAGGAGCTCAAAAACAAAAGAGATCTGCTGAAAATACACTCTTGACAGTGCTAGACGGAGCAAGAAATCTGTGCTTTGCAAAGCGGAGTGACTCAGAGTCTAGACACTTCAAACCACACTCACAGTCCTCAGCTAGCAGCGAACACAGTGGGACGTGATTGAGGGAGTTTCAATTATAGAAGCGCAGTTCATTATGTGCCATGATAGGCAAAATGTAAATGTCCCGTTTAAATTAATGGGCAAATTTGTTGCTTGTCATACAAATTAAGCATTATGATATAGGCTGGACTTTTCAAAAACTACAACGAACGACTCGTTTGGACTACAACGCATATTTTCCGGGATTTGTGATATCACAAATATCGACGAATGGGACGAGACTGAGCTGCACTAGAGAAGGCAATGAGTGTTATCTTTTTTTACAGTCTATGGTGTTATCACTATGTCGGAGACACGCTAGCTTTCCCAAGGCAGACGAACTTAGAGTGGTTACAATCATCCGGGTTTAAATCGCGCTCAAATTGATTTGATTTTGACCAATATTTACACCGAAGCATGCAGGCGGCTATGGTAAGGGGCGTGACATTTCCCGACCAGGCGCCGAGTGCTGCCAATCACAACACACACTGGCCCAGCTAACCAATCACAGCACATTTCGTATTTCAGAAGGCAGGCCTTCATTTGATACAGGAACTATTCGAGCCGTTCATGCCAGACTGGGGAGAGAGGTGTTGTAATAATGTAAAATATGTGAAAAATAATTTGTTAATGTTATGATAATAATACGATGATAATAATGTGTTTTTTGAACAACCTAGTATGAGAGCCAGTTCTAGTACACCCCCAAAACAAAATCAAGACTTTGTAAAAGAGCATAATAGGACCCCTTTAAAAAGAAAAAACTCTCAGCTTGCTCCCATCAGCCATCAAATATATAAAAAAAAAGACAAAAACACATAACAAAATTACTGAAACTTAAAAAAAAAAAATGCAATTAAAATGATGCAAGGGGTGTTACTGAAACTGCTTTATAGCTTGATAAACATCATGACTAGCAGTTGACAACTGGAGATAAAGTTTTTAGAGTTGATTGTTTGTGGGGAAAATAGGATGTTCAAGCACTCTTTCTGATGTCTTTTAGTAGATTTATGAACAAACAAATATTTAAGAATAATAAAACTCGGTGTTTGTAAAGAACATATTAAGTGAAGATTGAATGACTCACTCAAGACACACAAAATGAGTTCTTAATAGCATACTGCATACTAGCACACTTCATATCGTTATGAAATAAGAAAGTAGCAAGAAATAGCAAGACTTTGCTATTCCGAATTTTGTTTTTGTTTTTTGACTTGTGGCCAGCCATCTACTGGCGATGTAGCCTGCGTCACTGAATGAATCTTTTTAGTAACTGATTCAAAAGATTCGAATCACTTAAATGAATCAAACTGAGACACACACCAGGATACGTAGTATCGCATTATTGATCAGAGTGGCTTTACCAAAAGAACTCATGCATTTACACACGACACATTTACTGTTAATCAATCCAAGCCGACAAATAACAGGGTGTGACTGTTTTCCATCATTAATCCATCGCATAGCAACATGCCACGGAAAATCCCATTGAAATCCCACACGCGACGCTTTCATCAGCAAGAACTACATGCTGGATGAATGAGACGCGAATAAGAGAATGTGAACGCTGGTTTTCAATGACAGGATATTTTCATACAAACATTCAGCACAACACCAAAAAGGTGTTTTAACAGGACAGCAGACAGATTCCTCCTCATGCGTCCCTGCATTTTAGGGAGCATACTCGCAGTCTGCCATATCCAGCCCATATATAAATCTAGTGGTACTCATATTTCATATATTACTCCATTTAAAGCTTGTCTGTTCGAGAAAACGCGACGTTTAAGAGAGGATAACGTGAGAAAAGACCATGCACACGGACCTGCGATGCCAATTGATATTCATCTGCGGCTCTCAGTCACATCTTGCAGATCACATCCTCTGCTTCATGCAAAACACACAGGGTCCCTGCGTCGCGCCAGAACGATATTATAACAACATTTCTCACAATTCAGCATTCACCCCAGTTATCCACAGTAAAGCGCTGTCACACCTCTGGAACAAGACTGGCAAACAGGGAAGAGCAACACGCATCCACTTGTCTGATTAACTCTTTCAGTCTCGCCCATTTATATAGACACAACTGACAAACTACATACAGTGTCTGAACTGAGGTTTGCGTTGCTTTCTAGGATGTTAACAGTCTGATTGCAACGAAAATCTACGAAATCAACGGGGGGGAAATACAGGTCCACATTCCAGTGGACGACTTTTCATGAGCAATTAATGAACTGTTTAGGTAATTAAATAGATTTTTATATTTCATTATATTTTATTGTGTCTTAACGACATACTGAAAAACACATTTTAAGTTCAACATTGCACGAACTGAATTCAGAAGTGCAGTTATACTGTGTTCTGGCGCCCCCTTTGGCGCATGTGTGTATTGCATATTTGATCCATGATACCGCAGGAGAAAATTTACATGTGGATGCTGCAGCAACTGTGTGGTAAAGAGACTTCGTTCATCCAACATCAGTGAGGCTTTTTTAATCTATCATTTAAATTGTTATTGAATAAGGCAAATCACTACAGACAAAAAAATATATATATTTTGTTTTAAGATTTTGCTTCCATAGGTCTTCTTTCAAACTAGTGGCAAGAAAACAATCCAAAATATATATTTAACTGTTTATTTTATTGCACTTTATCTATTTGTGCACGTTGATTACGATTATAATACCCAGCAGCTATCCAGCTAAAGAGTTAAAGTTTTTTTTTTTTAAGAGGAGACAGAAATCTCTTCAGTATTACTTATGCCAAACATTCCTATTTTTCTCCCCATTTATTTCTCATTATGAAGTTTTTAACTTAGGAGTTTGTTCACATATAACTTTCACAAATTTATTTTACATTTTATTCCTAAAAACATGTTGAAAATGTGATATTTTCTTTTTTCCAGTCGGTTGACATTTTTTTATTTGAGTGATGAAGTGAGAGATCCAGAATCCTCCCTCTGTAAAAATCTCTAATATATCAACAAAATTAAAAGAATAATTTTCAACCTGGATTTATCCACTGTTCAAAATTCTGTTTGAAATGTATGTAAATTACATGATTAGATAATGCCTTGTTTTGGATATTTAAACATTTGAGAAAACTTGTTATACAAAATGTAATGTTCTGTGATTAACTGGCAAAGCATGGCGATATCTATTGCCTTGAGCACATAATGGCAGTCATCCAACAGATAATATGATTTATTAAATAAACAGAATTCAGATTATTTATATGAAAGCACATACAAAAATTCAAAGTGTTTTGTAATGAAGGAAACAGAAATTACGAAAAGCAAAAGACATGTTTATAAAAAATAAAAAAAAAACATTCTCATTATATTTTATCTAATTTCTCTGCTGCCACTTGCATTATGTACAAAATTGTCTATCCAAAATGAGAGCAACCTCATCCCATATCATACAGCAAATATTACATCTTTTAACAAACATGGATCTTCCATCTGATTAATGCATTCTGAAAAATCCCCCCTGAGAAGTACATAAGCATTAACACATATAAATATATCATTGGTGTGAGGAATTAATCCACAATGGACGTGAAGCACTATTAAAACTTTAGTGCAAGGCAAGATGTACAGTTAAACTGCTGAATGTTTCATTGTGTAAAACATGCCCATTCACTACCTCATTTATATGACCAGAATTCAAGGTGCATCCTTGGCCATAGTAGGTACCAAATTGCATCACATACTCTAGGGTCAAAAAACATCTTTTTGTTTAGTGGTCACTCATTCAAGGGATAGTTCACACAAAAATGAAAATTGAGTCATTTACTTAGCCTGGTGCTGTTCTTTTGTTGTCCAAAACAAGAAAGAAGGGCATACGGCAATATAACAGCACCAGTTATAACAACTATCCCGTTAATGTGGGAAGTAATGCTAGTCCTTATTTGTGGTTTAAAGTAACCAAAAATTGATTCAGCAGTCAATGTAATGGTAGCACCCTTCTTAAAAAAAAAAAATCATAAACTGTGCTCTAATATTTTAATATTAGAGTATAAAGATATTCTAGAATAGTTCAAAATCAGAAAATAGGAGATGTATTACTTTAAGATCAACTCCCTTGTGCTGAATAGTCCCTTTATACAGCATTTTTCACAGCGTTCTGTTTCTGAAAAAATGAGGAAGTCACAGGTAGCCGCCCGCTCAGGAAACACAGGCTCTGACCCATCCGTTGAATTTTTGTGCCCTGAGCCCTGGCAGACCGAGTACCTTTCTAGGTCCTCGAGGAGGGCAACAATCTCTTTTGTTGTGGTGAGACGAGACGGGTGGCTGTCGTAGACTCTGTGGGTGGGCAGGAGAGGCTGTCCCTGGATGCTGATGTGGTAGTGGAAGCTGGGCTCAATATGAATAGTGGTGTCTGCCATAGTGGAGCGCTTGGAGCACTGCATCAGCTGTAACTGAGGGCCTTCCACCACAACGCAGAACCAGAGGACAGGAAGTACCATGCTATGAAGAGACCTCAGGAGAGGCATCAGTTCATGATTGATGTCGATGCCTTGGATTGTGGGGTCACTTTCTGCCATGCTGAATATCTGAGTGATCTGCAAAAGGCAGAAGTACAGTCATTGATTTTCCAATCTTCAAACTTCCATATCATACACCATATTCCTAAAACGGCTTCTTAGTTTTAGCATTAGTTTCCACTGTTATGCCGATGATACTCAACTATATATCTCAACAAGACCAGATGAAACTTCTAAATTATCTAAGCTAACAGAATGTGTTAAAAATGTAAAAGATTGGATGACTTACCGATGGACAAGATATATCCTCCTGTTGCTCTTCTTGACATGGCTCCTGACCTGCCGAACCTTGTGATCGATTCCCTTCCCTCAAACTCTCCCCAGCACAGTTTGGTGGAATTGCCATAGGAAGAACCTCTGGTCTCTATAAATAAATGGGTAGGGGAAATAAAGCAGGCTAATTAGACCAAACAAACAATTAATAGACTGATAATGTGTACTGAAACCGATGTTTAACAAAATGTATTTTTATTGGGCAGACCCTTGAGCCACCTGAACAGAAACATACAGTATGTAATATTTACGAAGAAATGTAAAAAAAATAGCATATAGTATAATTTTGATATATATATATATACACAGTGGTGTGAAAAGGTTTTTGCCCCCTTCCTGTTTTTTTAAATTGTTTGCATATTTGTCACACTTAAAAGATTCAGATCATCAAACAAATTTTAATATTACACAAAG